AAGGCTCTGAATCACCTGGCACCTGTTTACGGATCTAACATAATCCCATGCCACCTCCTCCTCATTCCCCTCACACCAACACACACACATACTTAAAAGCTCCGATGCAAGCAACCACACCAGCCGACTTCAGTTCCGGAAACACTCAAGCTCCTTTGTGCCTTGAGTCTTGATACTTGCTGATCTCTGCCTAGAATGCTCCGCCTCATGCTCTCTGCATGGCCGACCCCTTCTCTCCTTTAAGTTTCAGCTGAAAATTTACCTCCTCCAACAAGCCTTTACTAACCACCCAGTGAATTAGCTCCTCTCTTGTTTTTAATCATTGAACTCTGTCCTGTCTTGCTGATGCTTCTCTAAATTGCTATTTTGTTAGCTGTTTATTGTCAATTACCTCTCCAGGAGACCACAAGCTTCATGAGGTCAAGGACCTCACCACAGTATACCTGGCGCCCTTACAAGTGCTTACTAGATGTTGAGTAAACATTTGCTGAATCAATGAATGAAGCTAGGTAACAACCAAAATAGAACTCCCACAAAGAATATTTTGGAGAGATTTTAAATTGCATTTAATGCCTTAAAGAAGATAGTAGCCCTTAAGAATTTAACTTTTTTCCTTTGACATAGGGGATTTCAATTAGCATGAAAATTTTCTTAAACACAACGTCAAAATCATCAAACTTAAATGAACCTGAAACTGCCCTGTATGAAGAAATATAACATTCAAAACTTACACTTTTTAGCCATGACAGGAAATACATGCAATCAATTGTGGTTTAGTATGAAGAAAAATACAGTTAACTCAAATTCTCAAAGAATGGCTTAATCTCCACTGGGAAAGTATTTTCACTATGGTCAGGCCGTGGTAGCTGGGTGATACACAAGGTTACAAAATAGAACTATCAACATAAGCTTTTAGCAAATCAACATAACAATAATATAAATAAATGGCCACTCTAAACTAAAACAAAAATAGAATTGAGAAGGTAACTTGCATCTTCATATCAATCTTAAGAAAATTCTTAATGATGAGTACTGTACCATGCGAGTTTTAAAAAGTTCCCATCATTTGATGGACTCCTAGCTTTGAATTATTTTCCAGGGGTGGAAACTGGTTTGTACATCTACTCATATGGTTCTTTTTTGCAAACGGGCTAGGAACATAACAAACAGTATCATATGGTACAATCAGAGATGAAATTCATGCTCCTAAGAGAATTTTCCAAAAGTCAAACAGCCACACACATAGGTATTTATTTTTGTGACTTTGTTCCAACGAAGAATACCTAAACATGCAGACAGATAAACAAAATGTGTATAAATAGAATGCCATATGCCATAGAGTTGCAATGTGTTTGAATTTACCTACAGGACTACACAAGTTCAGCAAACACAAGAGAAACAAAGAAGGAGGGAGCTGGGGAGAAAGAGGAGAGAACAACTTCCATAGCATAAGCACTCTCACCGCAATGCCTCCATTACGGTCCATGAACTTACGCTCCCACGACGAGTGGGAGGTGTGTTCTCACAGTCAGTGTCAGTTCCCTCGGCCTCTGGGGGAGTGACTAGCTTGCTGTGCAAATGTGATATCCCAGAGTTTCAGAGTACACATGCATTCACACCACATGAGCCCTCAACACAAACAAACTACTCCAGTTGTTCAGTCAAAGAACAGTGGTCTGTTCTATTGCTAGAGAAGAAAACAAAAATAAAACTGGCAGAGTTGGTAAAATACTGCAATTTGTGAAAGATTTATGTGACTTTCAAGAGTAATTTTGTTCACATCCAATTGTCACCTTCTGTGTTGACATTAGAACCTAGCTCCTTTGTAAAATAAATGTGATTGCACTGTACACGATATATAACTACTGATAGCCAATATTTATCTGAATTCTAACCTTTCTTATTTAAAAAAAAAGAACCAAAACTTTGTTTTGCAGCTTTGCTAACATGCTGGATGGTCAGGCAGTAGTACGTTTATGGAGCTGTATGTCTAAATGCCAGCATACAGCCTTTCTCTAGGTAATGGTTCACACAACAACAACATACACAGGGAATGAGATAGCATATGTGCATGTTAGTATGCATATGTTTGTGTGTGTGTGTGCACACGTGCGTATGCATATGCATGTGTGTGTGTGTGTGTATGACAGACAGGAGTATATATACATTGTGTGTGCATTCTCCCCAGAAAAGAAAATCCTTAAAGGCAAAATGTTTGTTGAGATTCTTTTCTCATTTTTTAAATACTCAGTTCCATGCCACTGGAAGACATGTAAGTATATTCCTGCAGATCTGACATTCTTCGATGAAGCAAAGAAAACAAAAACGCTTCACCATACAGTGTTCACTGAACAACTCGATCACAGTATATTACAGTCAATCTATGAAGTTATAGGTTTGTTTTTATTTCTCTTACTTGCCATAACATTTCTTCAATAACTGTAATTGTTGACCCGAGGTAGAACTGAAAACTCTTTTAATATTCTAAATATTTAAATAATTTCAGGCTCCATCTCTCTCTCTCTCTCTCCCTCCCTCCCTCTCTCTCCCCCAAGCAGGCATCAAATAAAGGCCATATGAGCACAGCACGAAGGTGGCCATCTGCAAGGCAGGAAGAGGGCCTCAGCAGAACCCTGCCATGCTGGCACCCTCACCTCAGACTTGCAGCCTCCAGAACTGCATCTCCAAGAAGCATCTGTTGTTTAAGCTACCCAGTCTGTGGTATTTTGTCACAGTAGCCAGAGCAGAGTAAGACAATGTACATTTACAAAAAACATATAAGAGGGGCTGGCCTTGTCACACAGTGGTTAAGTTTGGTGGCCCAGGTTCCTGGGTTTGGATCCTGGGTGGGGACCTACACCACTCATCAGCCATGCTGTGGTGGCAACCCACATACACAGCAGAGGAAAATTGACACAGATGTTAGCTCATGGTTAATCTTCTTCAGCAAAAAACAACAACAACAAAACAACGCATAAGAAATTAAAGATTTAAATCTTAATACCTTGTTGTAAGGTGCTAACTAAAGAAAATGGATGGGCAAAACACAGTTCACTTTCTGTCCCTCACTTTCTAGCACACCACCTCTTCACTTGAAGAATGAATCAAACCTGGTGCCTACAAGGGAATCAGCACTTTAGATCTGATATTGCAGAGGATCTAGTGGAGATGTTTTAGCTCCAAGATAAATTCCAGGAGCCTAAATGTGTCTTCAAGAAGCAACTGACTTTCTTAAAGCACCTTGAAAGGGCTTTGGGTTTTCACATGGTTGTTCTCATTGCCTGGACTTCACGGTTAACTTCTATTCCTCCTTCAGCTCCTCCACAAAGGCTTCCCTGGTGCCACTGTCATCCCCTATCTGGACCTTCCCCATCCATGAGCTCCCATATCACTCTGGACATAAGCTTTATCACATGTGAGCCATATGCTTATAACTTTTCAGTTCTCCATACCATAACCCACCGAGGAAATGGGCTCCCTGGAACAGCCCAGACTAATTAGCATATACTGAATACTCAAAGGTTTGTTGAATAAATGTAAATGAATGAAGGAATTAATAAACGAACAAACGCATCAGTCAGCCTTTGGGGCCAACTAGAATTGACCCCATAGGCCTCATGGCTCCCCAGAGCACAGTGCAACATTCCTAAAACATTTGATGTTATTGGACACCAATGCAAGGACTTCCATCTAAATCTAACCCTCTAAGCTTTTAGTGGCTTAAAGCTAAACGGAACTTTAGAAACTACTGAGCAAAGAAAACTCCCATTTGTCTCACTGGTTGCTACTCTTAATCATAATTCAGGTTAAAAATAAAGAAACATTTTTTCTTAAAACTGAAGTGTTTAAGTGTGAAGTTAACAGGGGAATTGAATAAAGTACAACAGTCATGAATACAGTTTAAAATAGTCACCAGAAGAGCATCTCTGGGGGATCTTCAACAGCAGTAATTTTGTAAACGTGCAGTTATTTTCCTGAGGAAACACTAAATATCCTGTAGCTTGATTCATTTGAAATTAAATTGTCCAAAACATCAGAGAATAGACAATAATAGAAAATTGTGTATATGTTGGGATGGATCAAGAATGTCAATCTACATTTTATCTTTTAAGCGTCAATATTTCCATATTCATCAGGCAAAAAATTAAAACGACTTAATGGGATGAAAGACCTAAAAAAAGTATTTAAGTATTCACTTTGTTTTTGTTGCATGTTTAACACCTCACACTTTGTAGAGAGAACTGCTCCCTCCTAAGGAGGCTTTAATTCAAAAGGGAGAAAAGTATTTTAATATACACTTAGATGTGTTCCCCACCATCACATCACTATCTGAGGGCCAAGTTAAAAACAAGAGCCCTCAGAATTCCCAGTGATGATAACCTAAGTAGAAACAAAATCAAATCAAAACGAATACTTTACCAGCGATGGGATTAAGAGAGAAATGACAGCTACATGGTAATTGTACTACTGCTCTTCAAACTCACGGCAGACATTATTAATTAATCACAGTTCTCTATCCTGCGGAACCTAGATACATCCCCAGATGCCTTCCCAGTACAACACTCTAGACAGTCACCATCAATCAATCACCTATGAAAAGGAGAGAGGGACTCTGTTACCTCGATTCTATAAACAAAGCAGGAACTGAAGGTATTCCTCTAACATAAAATAGAAACTCAGGTGCTCCCCAAGAGAGATGGCTATTTGAAATAGGAAGAGAAGAGAAAGTCACAATTTTTTTCCTTTTTTTTTTTTTTACTGAAGTATAATTGACACAACGTTATATTAGTTTCAAGTGTAGGAGATAATGATTTGATATTTGCATATATTGCAAAACGATCACCACGATAAATCCGGTTAACATCTGTCACCATACCTCGGTACAAAATTTTTTTCTTGTAATGGGAACTACCAAGACCCACTGGCTTAGCTACTTTCAAACATTCAACACAGTATTATTAACTATAGTCACCATGCTGTCCATTATATACATTATGTATGAAAATATAGAAGGCTTCACGAATTTGCATGTCATCCTAACGCAGGAGCCACACTAATCTTCCGTAATTTTCCACTTTTAGTACATGTGCTGCCGAACCAAGCATGAAAGTCAACTTCTCTTAATGGAAAGAACTAATAGCATGCTGAGAGCTCTAAGATGACAACTATCATTGCATCACATGGCCACAAAGAACAAAGAAAGCATATCTGAAGCAGGGAAAAGGATACAGGAGTTGGATGTCCCTTACTTTATATTAATTAATCCAATCTATGATGAGACCCTGAAAAATAGGATCAGAAAGCTGATTTTATAAACATCTCAATGTTTAAGCTTTTGTGTGTCTCTCTCTTCCTTCACTCATAGCATTAGTAAAACATAGTTTTGAAAAGCTGTTTCAAGGAACAAAGAAAAGAGGTTTGCCACACTTAAACCTGAAAAGTAAGGGGATTATAATATCCGAAGGATGGGGGAACAATGGCTGCAATGAAGGAGACCTTTTGTACACAATGGGAAGAGTGGGCAGAGTGAGGCTGAAGTAAGTAGAATGGTGAGAAAAACAGTCAGGCTTAGGTGGGGAGAGTGTTCCCAGCTGAGTCCTCCTCTCACGATAGGGAAATAACCCCTGGACCTATCATTTATAGAGTTCCTCCATCTCTGTCCACTGATGGTCATATTTTTAAGCTTAGATAAAAGCTTGTCTGAAAGAATACTTTTAATGTCAGATTCCTTCAGTGAGTCCAACCCAGGAAAATCAGACATTTTGTCAATTACATTATCATTTCAAGGCTTTCTATGGGGCCAGCTTTTAATTCAACCACGCTTCAAAGAAAATACTTTACAAGTAGGTAACTTTGGCTGAGACAGTCATTTGTCTACAATGAACTCTCAGGGTTTCTCCTTCAAATGCAAGCCTTAAGGTACTTAATGATTTCCAACAAGGACTGGTTCTTCGTCAGTTAATCCTGTGGGTTGAAGATCATCAGCCTTTCTTTATAAGCTCTGGAAAATTACTAGGCACTCTAAGTATATAAATCTCGTCTTAATCGCTGAACCACAATTGGTCTCCCAATGGTTTATTGTATTAAGGTACTGACAACACAATTTTTAAATTAGAATTATAGGAAAAGTGGGAGATGTCAAAGTGAAAAAAAATCTGAGTGCTATTCCACTTTACTCAGCATCATTCACGTTATGAAGGGCTTTGATGTGTTAAACTTTGATCTTTGATGAGGTGTCATTATTCTCATATAATTTGAACACATTTTAGTTCTCCAAAATATCTAATTTTAAATTCACACTTTAGTTTTAGATAAGCTGAATAGAAACCTAGCTTTACTATACCTGAATATATTTAATTAGCAGTTCAGTGAAAGATAAATAAATTCTATACATAAAAAGCCACTTTAAGAAAATAGCAAGTTTGGTGGGACCTATGTTATGTGGACTGTCCAGAAACCTCTATCTTTGGGGACCCCTCTCTTCCTCACGCCATAGTGTTTCAGTTGGTAGCACCGTCCCACTGCCACAGGGTGGGCCTGGACTTGATTGACACATGTCCTGAGCTCCCTAGCAACAGGACGGGCCCAGGGAGTGGGCACTTGACTGAAGCAGTACCAAATGGAGTCCTTCCTTAGGACAGCTATCGAGACACTAGAAAGACAGGCATCTGTGGCTGACAGCTTTCACCTCCCCTGCCCCAGAGAAGACAGCTGTCTGCAAAATGAAGCTACGCAGAGGCAAGCAGATGTGAGAGAAGAATGGATAGAGACCTGGAATATCCAGCCTAGTGAAAGCTCCTGAAGTCCTGGCCTTCGCGTATCTTCCTTTGATCCTGCAAGATATGTATTATCCTTCCAGCAAATAAATTCCAATTTACTTAATTTAGTTGGAGTTGGTTTTAATCACTTGCTACTCAAAAGAGTCTTTATTAATACAATGGAACGATATTTAATGAAAATATTTCTGGGAAAATTTTCTTTAAAATAATAAAAATCTAGGTTTATAATGCATAGAGTTCCCCCTATCTTACATCAGACACAAAAATAAATCCAAGATGGGTATTAGACCTAAATGTAAAAGCTAAAACTTCTAGAAGAAAACAGAGGAGAATAAATCACAACCTGGGGGAAGAAAGTGATTTTTTAAAAGAGATAAAGTAATAACCATAAAAATTAATAATTTAGACTTTATAAAAAGTAAAAACTTCTGCTCATCCAAAGATATCATTAAGGAAAAGCCACAGGCTATCAGAAAGTATTTGCAAAACATATATCTGTCAAAAGACCTGCATCCACAATATATAAAGGATTCCTACGACTCAATAACAAAAAGACAAAAAAACACAAAAACTAACTTAGAAAATGGGAAAAAAAAATTGGATACTTCACAAAAGAAGATATACAAATATCCAATAATCTCATGAAAAAGTCCCAGCACCATTAGATGTCAGAGAAATGTATATCAGTCACAATGAGACCCCATTACGCAAACGTTTGAATGCTAAAATTTAAAAACAGACTGACAACACCAAACGTTGACGAGGATATGGAGCAACCAGAATTTTCATACATTGTTGGTGAAAGCATAAATGGTATAACCACTTTGATAAAAGATTTGGCAATTTATGGGGCTGGCCCAGTGGCATAGTGGTTAAGTTCACGCACTCCTCTTCGGCAGCCCAGGGTTTCTGGGCTCGGATCCCTGGCATGAACCTAGCACTGCTCGTCAAGCCATGCCGTAGTGGCGTCCCATTTACAAAATAGAGGAAGATTAGCACAGACGTTAGCTCAGCAACAATCTTCCTCAGGCAGAAAGAGGAAGATCGGTAACAGATGTTAGACGAGGGCTAATCTTCCTCACCAAAAAAAAAAAAGCGTTTGGCAATTTCTTATAAAATTAAGCATACCCCTACCTATGACTTAGCAGTCTCAATTGTACATGTTTAACCAAGAGAAATGTAATCCATATGTTCACAAAATTAATTGTACAGAAATGTTCATAGTCATTTTATCTATATTAGCCCCAAGTGGAAATAACTCAAATGATGCCCATCAACAAGTGAACAGGTAAACAAGTTGTGGCATAACCTACAGTGAAATACTCCTCAGCAATAACAAGAAATAAACTATACATATACATAACAACACAGATGAATTCCACAGTCATTATAATGAGTAAAAGAAGCCAGATGCAAGATTATACACTCCAGGATTCCATTCATATGAAGTTCTAGAATAGGCCAAACCAATCTTTGGGGATAGAAATCAGAAAAATGGCCACTCTTGCGGGGGTGGATATTGACTGGTAAAGGGCACAGGGGACTTTCCAAGGTGATGGAAATGCCTTGAGTTACATGGGCATAGACATGTGTCTAAACTCATGAACTGTACCCTTCAGATTTGTGCACAAATTATGTTGTTCTAATAAATTTCACTCCAACAGATTGTGAAAAATATTGAATTCTAGTTAGTAAGCTTGCTTTTTTGCAGTGGTATGAGTTAGCAATTCTGAAATTACCTTCAGTGTGTTCCAAGGTGAGCAAATTAATATATGTGTTGAACACAATGGGAAGCTAGGTTTCTCACTGTTGAAAAAGAAAGTTAAAAAATATGGAAATGGAAAGACAAGAATGTATCCAGTGGTTTGAGACTAGAAGTAGAGATGTCAGAGACTGTGTTCTTAATCACTTCTCTACGTTGCCTCTCGACTATTACCTAAAAATAAACCCTAGCATAGAATAGCCCATGACTTCAAATATTCCACGAGAAAAAGTCATGTGAGTCATAAAACTATTTATTCTTTACACCAAATTCTAATACCTGGAGAGATGTCTGTGTGTGTGTATATATATACACACATATATAGGTCGTGCCTCATTTTCCAGATCTATCACTAATATAATCTCGATATTGATATTTATACACATATATTTAGTTTTGAGTTTTACTTTTAAAATTCTAAGACTTGGCAGACCTTTCCATTGAACCTTTTGCCACATGGACTTGCAGCTCTTTCCCCTTTAGCAGCTTGAAAGCTGCCAGGTGAAAAAGCTCAGAAGCTGCCGCTAGCTCACCCTTCACAGAGGCCAGCAAATAAAAGCTGGCCATGCTGCGGCACATTTGGTATTTGGAACCCAGAGGGAAAAAATAAGGCTCACGAGCTTGGTCCTTCATGAAGAAAAAATTAGCAGTGAAAGTGACAAATTCCCTTTTGCCTTTAACAAAAAGAAATTATAGAGCACTGTGTCGTTTTAGTTGGAAAAGTACAAAATTATAAGTCCTAAGAATTTCATTACAGCATGACTAACACGTGTTTCCTCAGTCCAGGTGCCAATGTCTGTAGTCACCTGTTTAGCTCAGTTAGGCCTCCCTAGATGCTGGAAAATTACTCACGCAAATCTCAAGCTCACCTTTCATAAGATCTGGATTGAGGGAAAAATAAAGTTGAACAACTGTTAAGCAAGGGTACTTTTAAATGGCAATGGAATTATCTGAGAGAGCAGAAGACAGGGAGTTATGGCAACAGTTAAGATTTGGAATCCATCGTATTTTAACATGTCTGACACATTATCTTGCAAAAAATAATAATCACCAATATTTATATGTAGGACTTCTCATAAATTCCATATAATCTGAATTCCATATAATTCCATATAATCCTGACAAAATCCTTAAAAAGTAGAGCTGATGTCCCTGCTGTATATACCATCCAAGAGGCTAAAGCGATTTGCTCAAACCATAAACGCAGCAAGGATCTGAGCACGTATTTTTTCACTCTGGATCTTGAAGGGTTTTTTTCCCACTGAGTTACACTGCTTCATACTTACATCATCATCTTATACTTACTAGTATCCCCCCCAAACGAAGGAATGAATCAAGTAATAATAGAACAAAGAGTAGGCACTTAAATACTTATTACACTGTAGCTTAACATTCTGATAAAAATGTATAAAACAAAATTAACAGGCCGTTGGGGAAATATTCTAACAGTATTTACTTTTCATAGAGCTACATTAGGATTTCGAGACGTTACATGAAGGGTCACTTATAAAAGTCCAAGTATTCACACAGCTTAAATTAAAGTATTAGAGTGAAAAGAAAAATA